ACTTCCGGGGCTGGCGTGAGCATCGAGGTCCAAAAATGCTGTTTTGAGTTTTTTAATTTTATAAAATCGGAGACAGCCATTCCGCAAAAACGAACAACAGGAGCTTGTTCAGAATTCAATTCTCTATCGAATGAGCTAGGTCGTGAAAGGTTTTGCCGATGACACTAAAAGGGCACTCCTTGTTAGGATTAAGCTTAGACACCGGCTTAGGTTTAGGCTTAGGTTTGGGCTTAGGCTCAGGCTCAAGCTTAGGTTTAGGCTTGACCTAGGCTTGGCCTTCGGTTTTGTTCGCTCCAGCCGTGGGTAAGTCTAGGTACAAGTTTCATCCACCTGTGTGTTACTTCCCCCAGCGGGGGTTCGGCCCCATTTCCTACCAGGTTTTGATGGGGAAAAGTATGTTTTTCGGGGTGGGGGGGGGGGCGATACGCATCTCGCACCCTTTTCAATGTCCCCGGGCCATCCTCTTCCTCGGAATGGAGTTTCACGGGGCAAGAGGGGGAGTAGGAGAATGAGAATGGATCAACGCTTCATAACTTCCCGCCCCCCCAGCAAATGGAAGGAGTTTCCGCGGCGCGCTGAATTGGGTCAACACAAACTTTGCGAGAGTACCGCGCGGCGGAGCCCATGTTTTGGGCAGCTCCAATTGGCCGCGGATTATGCAAGTATGAAAGTGATCCCATTTCGGGATCCAACAGTATGCTAAAAAGCCCGAATTTCCCTAGAAAGCGGTGCTTGCCTGCCCCGAAAATTTTGAGTCACAGTTGCCTTCCTCTTCCTCAATGATTTCTGCTAGCTTGCCCGCTTCAAAAGCCGAAAGCCGAAATTTCCCTAGCAATCCCTGCTAGTATGCCGCCTTTAAAAACACGGATTCAACCGCAACTTATTGTTCTTACTCTTTTGAACATCCAACACAAAACATACCTGCCTCTTCCTCAATGACCTCGGCCAGCCTGCCCGCTTCAGCAACGCGAATTTCCCTAAAAATCCCTGCCAGCTTGCCCTGAGCGGAACCATTGGCTTTCTGTTTCAATTTTATTATGTACTATTTCTGCAGATCCCGCGAAGTTTTCAATTTTTCTGAAGAAAATTTCCCTAAAAATTTGGAAGCTTTATAGGATGATCCTGAGGAGCTTCGTCCTCATCAGCTGCCTCGCAAGGATCACCACTTCGTTGAAATGCTCTTCATATTTGGGTACGTACTGTACTGTACTGTACTGTACTGTACTGTACTGTACTGTACTGTACTGTACTGTACACAATGGCCCAGCGTACAGCACCGTATCCCAGCCATCCTACCCATTTTCAGAGTCCCGCCGCGACTCGTCAATCCGGGACATCCGACTTGCTGAAAATCGGACACTTTGCCTGCGCCCTATTGGTGCGCCGTCGATGATTTACGCAATTTCGGTGACGAACGTCTGGACCCAATGGGCGGTACGTGAAAAACTAGAAACTGGCCTCAATGATCACTGCTAGCCTGCCCCTTCCATTCCCAAATGATCACTGCTAGCCTGCCCCTTCCATTCCCAAATGATCTCTGCTAGCCTGCCCCTTCCATTCCCAAATGATCTCTGCTAGCCTGCCCCTTCCATTCCCAAATGATCTCTGCTAGCCTGCCCCTTCCATTCCCAAATGATCTCTGCTAGCCTGCCCCTTCCATTCCCAAATGATCTCTGCTAGCCTGCCCCTTCCATTCCCAAATGATCTCTGCTAGCCTGCCCCTTCCATTCCCAAATGATCTCTGCTAGCCTGCCCCTTCCATTCCCAAATGATCTCTGCTAGCCTGCCCCTTCCATTCCCAAATGATCTCTGCTAGCCTGCCCCTTCCATTCCCAAATGATCTCTGCTAGCCTGCCCCTTCCATTCCCAAATGATCACTGCTAGCCTGCCCCTTCCATTCCCAAATGATCTCTGCTAGCCTGCCCCTTCCATTCCCAAATGATCTCTGCTAGCCTGCCCCTTCCATTCCCAAATGATCTCTGCTAGCCTGCCCCTTCCATTCCCAAATGATCTCTGCTAGCCTGCCCCTTCCATTCCCAAATGATCTCTGCTAGCCTGCCCCTTCCATTCCCAAATGATCTCTGCTAGCCTGCCCCTTCCATTCCCAAATGATCTCTGCTAGCCTGCCCCTTCCATTCCCAAATGATCTCTGCTAGCCTGCCCCTTCCATTCCCAAATGATCTCTGCTAGCCTGCCCCTTCCATTCCCAAATGATCTCTGCTAGCCTGCCCCTTCCATTCCCAAATGATCTCTGCTAGCCTGCCCCTTCCATTCCCAAATGATCTCTGCTAGCCTGCCCCTTCCATTCCCATATGATCTCTGCTAGCCTGCCCCTTCCATTCCCAAATGATCTCTGCTAGCCTGCCCCTTCCATTCCCATATGATCTCTGCTAGCCTGCCCCTTCCATTCCCATATGATCTCTGCTAGCCTGCCCCTTCCATTCCCAAATGATCTCTGCTAGCCTGCCCCTTCCATTCCCAAATGATCTCTGCTAGCCTGCCCCTTCCATTCCCAAATGATCTCTGCTAGCCTGCCCCTTCCATTCCCAAATGATCTCTGCTAGCCTGCCCCTTCCATTCCCAAATGATCTCTGCTAGCCTGCCCCTTCCATTCCCATATGATCTCTGCTAGCCTGCCCCTTCCATTCCCATATGATCTCTGCTAGCCTGCCCCTTCCATTCCCAAATGATCTCTGCTAGCCTGCCCCTTCCATTCCCAAATGATCTCTGCTAGCCTGCCCCTTCCATTCCCATATGATCTCTGCTAGCCTGCCCCTTCCATTCCCATATGATCTCTGCTAGCCTGCCCCTTCCATTCCCAAATGATCTCTGCTAGCCTGCCCCTTCCATTCCCAAATGATCTCTGCTAGCCTGCCCCTTCCATTCCCATATGATCTCTGCTAGCCTGCCCCTTCCATTCCCAAATGATCTCTGCTAGCCTGCCCCTTCCATTCCCAAATGATCTCTGCTAGCCTGCCCCTTCCATTCCCAAATGATCTCTGCTAGCCTGCCCCTTCCATTCCCAAATGATCTCTGCTAGCCTAACCTGGAAACACCGTCTCTTTCAGCTTTCCGCCCGCCAGGACTTTGTACTCGCCGATTTCGAGCTGAAAAATTGTCACTGCGACTGCCGCCGCAACAGTGAAGTCTGTGACAAAGGGCAGCTGAAGAAAGAGGTATCTTCCAAATACCACGATTTTAAAAGTTAACTTTATTAGTGCCCCGACTGCCTACAAATCACCAACTCGCACCCAAACGCCGCTGGGTGCGATAGAAACGTGGAGGCGACGTCGTGCTGTAATGTTGAGGTATGCATTTCGAGCGTTTAAAGGGACCAGCACGCTCGAGAATCGACCCCAACTATGGACTAGGTCTCGACAGCTGCTCTGAAAAGCGGCCATTTTTCCTCGACGCATCGATATTTTTTTGTATTTTCTTACAGACTATTGTATGTAAATTTTTTACGTTTAGGAACAGTAGAAAATAGTTTAAAAACATTTCCACTATTTATGTTTGAAAATTGGGGCGTAAGAAAAAAATTGGTTCCCCCGATAATGCCAAGGGACCCGAGAAACACGTTTTCCACATTTTTGACGCTCAAAAAAGCGTTTTATTAGCAAATTTAAAGGGTCAAATTTGTCCTGAACTTAGCACTTATAATTATTAAAAATAATAATTTTTCGAAGTTATCATCTTCAGTTTTTCCAGGCCAAAAATCTGCGCAACATTTCGACGTTCCACCTGTCGCACCCGATCCTCTTCTATCGGCTCGAGATCTCGAAGTGGAGCGAAAATCCCGCGGAGGCGCGAAAGCTGCTGAGTACCGACGTCTGGGAGGAGATGAACGCCGGCGAGAGGCACCGATTGTGCGTTTTCAAGGGGCCGGGAAGGGCAAGTGCACGAAGTGGAAATTCGAAAAAGGCTCGCGGCTACCCCGAGGTTTTCGACTACGGCGATTCCGATGCACTATTCAGAATTAGCCACCGAGGTCTGTAAAGCGTAATTTGCATGCGCGTAATTAGAAAGCTACTAACTATCTGTAAGCTGAAAGCTAGTAAGGGTTTATCAGGATCTTCCACGTATCAGCTGTGAATTGGTCGATTGCCAAGCCACTCGCTTTTTGAAATACCAACGGGATCCACTCTTATTTTTAATTTTCTTTTTTGGACGTCAATTCGAAATGCGATAGCTGGTTCGGGGATTTCAATGCTCTAATTTTGTAATTTTTGGGTTGGACCTCGGATCTTGAATAGAATTTTCTGTCAACCATGAGGAAAACGGGGCGATAACCTGCAATACTAGGCTCCACAAAGCAAAAACAAAAAAAATCAAGGCCGATCCGAACCCCCGTTGGTATTTCAAAAAGCGAGTGGCTTGGTACTCGACCAATTCACAGCTGATGGTAGAGACGTGGAAGATCCTAATAAACCCTTAGTAGATTTCTAATTACGCGCATGCAAATTACGCTTTTTCCGGAAATGCTGTATCTCGCTTTACAGACCTCGGTGGCCAATTCTGAATAGTGCATCGGAATCGCCGTAGTCGATAACCTGGGGGTAGCCGCGAGCCTTTTTCGAATTTCCACTTGCACTGGTGCTTCGTGCACTTGCCCTTCCCTTGTAAGCGCTCCGCTCGATCGACTAGGTCTAGACAGCTACGCGACACTCCAAGCCACACGTGCTATTTACTTTTATATACCATAAGGACATAACCGTTTAACAAAAAAAAATGAATATGCGGTCTTGGAGTGTCGCGTAGCGGTCTAGGTCTAGTCGATCGAGGGGGTCGACGCTGGCCCTTCCCGGTACCTTTAAAAAATGGTTCCACGGGCAGGCGAGCAGAGAAACTTTGAGAAGCCTACGCACCCGTTCCAGACCCATCGAAAACATCACGTTCGAGCTGCACACCGTGCCGAAGGCGCACAATTTGGAGCGCGAGGTGGTGCTCGATTTGAGCAGTCAGCAGCTGATTCCGTTGCTGTACTCTCATCGGTTGGTGAGGAGAGAGAGAAAGAGAGAGAGAGAGAGAGAGAGAGAGAGGGGGAGAGAAATAGCTACAACAATTCCAGATGCGTCGACGCGTTCACTCGCACCGCTTCTGGAGCTCTAGAAGTCCGTGACGAGAGTTGCCTCCCAAAATTGGCCCTCGACAGCTGCCCCGACCAGCGTCTATTAGTGCAAAAGATTACGGTAGGTCAGCTTTATGGCGTTGTAACTACGGTACTACGCTGATATCGATTTTCCATGCCTGTCTTTAGAATCGAAAAATCGACTTCACGCGCGGGCAACGGGCGACAATCTCTGAGGATGAGCGCCATGTGTTGTTGGATGGAAACTTAGTGTTGACGCTGACGATTGATGGTGTGTTTCAATTTGTCGCTGGCTCTCTCTCTCTCTCTCTCTCTCTCTCTTCTATCTTCTTTCTCGCGCTCACGCTTTTCAACTTTCTCGCTGTCTCTCCCACTCTCTCTCACTCTCTCTAGCTCTCTCTCTTTCTTTCCCTCTCTCCCACTCGCTCTCTTTCTTGCTCTCTCTCTCTCTCTATTGAAAGTTTTTAGACAACAACAATCAAGTGGAAGCTCTCGAAGACACTGCAAAAATCGATGAGATGCGGGACGTCAGAATTGAAGTTGATGCTTGGAGCCGGAGGTGTGAGAGAGAGAGAGAGAGAGAGAGAGAAAGAGAAAGCAAGCGAGAGAGAGAGAGTGAGATGCTTGCCAATCAAAATCTCGAATGACAAAATCTCGAATGACAAAATCTCGGATGACAAAATCTCGAATGATTAAAATCTCGAACGATCAGAATCTCGAATTTACAAAATCTCGAATGACAGAATCTCGAATGACAGAATCTCGAATGGTCAAAATCTCGAATGAACAAAACTTCGATTCAGCAGAACACAGTTTGGATAAAAATTTCCACTAGCGGCCCAGTAATTGAACCCAAACTTTTTCTATGGAGGTTTTGGCAATCAATAGCTGTAGCAACACTATCGAAAAATAAAGATTGAAAGAATTTGAGCCCTTTGCGTCGAAAAAAAACAAATTTTTCGACTTAACGCTAATGTTCTTCATTATCATTTGTAAAGTATGATGCTCAAAAAGGACCATCCCTCGGCAGGGCATACTCACAGCTTACTAGCTTCTATCTAATACAAAAAAAAATCGATGCTGGATCGAGCCAGACGAAACTAGATTAGGATACAGTGGGAATCCTGGCATTCGCGATTTGTTCATTCGAGATTTTGACCATTCGAGATTTTGTCATTCGAGATTCTGTCATTCGAGATTCTGTAAATTCGAGATTCTGATCGTTCGAGATTCTAATCATTCGAGATTCTGATCATTCGAGATTCTGATCATTCGAGATTCTGATCATTCGAGATTTTGTCAAACTACCAGTGAGATAGCGAGCGAGAACTATCGTGAAAATTGGCAACAAAAGCCTTTGAGCAGCAGCGAGCGGCAAGCTAGCAGAGACTGTTTGGGAGGGGAAAAAAGAAAGAGAGCAGAGAGAGAATGTGAGAGAGATAGTGTGAGAGAGAGAGAGAGAGTGAGAGGGATAGAGAGAGCGAGCGAAGGACAACGTCAAAATTCCAGGCATTTCCACGCGCGACTCACCGGAGCACAGGGCACGCTGCAATTCACGTTCGTGACACTGTCCCTCAACGCCAGGTAAACCATCGCAAAAAGCCGTTTTAAAGGGACAGAGAAGGCAAATTTTTGCCCTTGGTCTTTTGCCAAAATCCCAAGCACAGCCCTGAATTTCATCTGTAAAAGCAGGTACACAGTCCAATACGTGGTCCCCACGGCCCTCGCCAACTCGGAAAGCCACTGGGTGTCCGTTGCGCTGCCGGCGTCGATACGGTAGGTCGCGTTGTAATTTCCCGTTGAAGAAGTTGTTTCCAAAAAAAGCCGCTGGCACCGGTTACGCCACCCAATTCAGGGAAGACTCGACGGTGTGCGTGGCGCCACTCGGACAACCCAATCACCAACTCTGCGCCCATGCCGCCTACAAGGAGACCAAGGCTACGGTAAGTGGGGCAGATTTTTGACTTTTGACTAGAGAGAAAGAGGGAAAGAGAGAGAGAGAGAGAGACAGAAGGACAGAGAGAGAGAGAGAGAGAGAGAGAGAGAGAGAGAGAGAGAGAGGCACAGAGAGCGATGCCGCCTAAATGTGGATGAGCTACCGTACCCTCCTTTCCAGTCCTGGGACTTTTTGCCGCCCTCCGTGTTCGTCGGATCGTGCGAAAATTGCGTCGGGGCTACGTCGATCGTCGATAGGATTGCTGGAGCTGTTGGGTGAGTCATAAAGCTGGAGAGAGAGAGAGCGAGAGAGAGAGAGAGAAACAGAGAGAGAGGGAGTGAGAGAGACAGAGAGAGAGAGGGAGAACGCGCGAAAATCACCTACGAATTTCAGGCTTCTCGTCCCGGCGAAATCACTCGCCAAACTTTTTCACGGCGAACCGCTGCAGTGGACGGATTTGCAGGTCAGATTTTTACGGTTTTATAGCGATTTCCGGTTACCGTACACCGGCTAAAGTACGCAAAAACGGAAATGATTTAATGGTGAAATATAAAATCAAAATATTTAAAATATGGGTTTCGGAAATTGACAACATACAGGGAGTCCCAATAAAAAAACCCCCTGCAACTAGACGCCGAAGCATCGGATAGAAAAGATAGTTACACCATTCAAAAGCCCTTGAGACGGCGAGTCGGCCACCATTTTCAAAACCTGGGTTTTTTGTTAAATGCACTATTTTACAAGCTATTTCGTAAGTTTTGGCGGTATTTCGGGGGTTGCATACGATCTAGTTTGACTCATTTTCAACCAGCAAAAAAAAAACCCGGAAGTGGCCGCTAATTTATGGCGTCAAGTTAGTTATTTTTTTTATGTTATTACCTCAGCGATAAATGACGTGTTTAAATCAAAACGTGGTTTTTAAGGTTGTTGTGACGATTTTGAAGTCTTTTTTAGGCTCTCCTACTCTCCGCCCTGCTCCTCGCCTGCGGCATCTTGATTTGCGTCCTTTTCAAAAGGTAATCGCGACCTCGGGTTTCCAGGAACCAACACGAAAAAAAGGCCGTCACGCATCCTAGTTGACGGAAAGCTTCAGAATCCGATTTTCAAAAGATTTGGGTAGGGGGAAACGGGGATTTGAAGGGATGTTCTAGTTTGTAGTTTCTAGTCTGCCATACAAAAAACACGCTTCTAAAAGATTTTGGTACTTTGTAGTTTGTATTCGAGATTACACCAAAATCCATTTTTCTGGAAAATTGGGTGAAAAATCGGGCATTTCACAACCTGTTGCAGTTTGTAGTTTGTGCCCAACTGGGAAAAACAGCATCTAGAGGGCTTTGTAGTTTGTAATCTGTAGCCCATACTACAAAAAAACGCTGATTGTTCGAGAAATCCGCGCACTGCGGTGAAAAATCGAGGGTTTTCAGGCCGTTCGGGAGTGTAGTTTGCGCTCTGTCAGACAGGAAACGCGATTTTTAAGGCTTTTTGTAGCTCGTAGCTTGTAGTTTGTAGTGTAGACTATAAGATCCGATTTTTCATGAAATTTGGGGAAGGAGGTGCAAAGTCGGGTTTCAGGGATTTTGTAGTCTGTAGCTTGTAGCCTGCCATGTCGTTAGATACCCACACCTCGTCCCCGCTTAAAAATTCTAAACTGTTTGAAGATTCTCCAACCTAAAATTGAATTTCTAAGGATCGTCGTCCCGCTAATCGACTGTCTCCTCTGCTGCCTATCGCCGACGGGCCTTTTCTCGAGGCAGGGTGACCGGGCGCGAAAAAAGCACCGCTACGCGGCCGTGTCGCCCCTGCAGACCAGCCAAGTCTAGGGTGACAAGTCCCTTTAATGGGTTTTCGTTGTATATGTTGCCATCCGCTTTATACTAATGTACTTTAAGACCAAAAATATCATAGATGTTGATATCCTTTATTTTTCGATGGAGCTTTTCCACTTTTTAATCGTATTTTTCTCGAAAACGCCTTCTCATTTTTTCAAAAAAAAGCGTGACCGAAAACGGGTACCCCCTGTGACCTCAGTGTGATTGTTTGTTGCCTTAACCTTATTGCGTTTTAATAAATTGTTCTATTAAATTTGTAGCATTCTCTCTCTGCCTCACTCTCTCTCTCTCTCTCTCTCTCTCTCTCTCTCTCTCTCTCTCTCTCGCTCTCTCTCTCGCTCTCTCTCTATCTCTCTATCTCTCTCTATCTCTATCTCTCTCTCTATCTCTCTCTATCTCTCTCAATCTCTCTCTCGCTCTCTCGCTGCGGCTCCCTCTCTTCAAATGATCTATTAATGGTGATTTTGCGAGCCGCTCGAGATAGCCGCGGTATTTGCCTGTAATTGTTGTCGAGTTCCGGGCAGCTCCAGCTCACAAAGTGTTTGATACGGAAATTAGCCGACGGGTACAAATACCTAAATGTCGGCCCGACAACACACGATACACCCCCAGTCGGCCTCAAAACACTCTATTTCGAGCCGCCCGATGAACGTATTTCTGCTCTTGGGACTTTTCCTGTCTACCGTATGCACGCAGGGTACCACGGATCCTACGGTGGACACGGTGAGCTTGAAATATTTGAGCAGGGGTACATTTAAAAAATACCAAATACCAAGGCTTTTCTAAATACGAAAACGCAAAAACTCTATGCAGAAAATCGGTGAATTCCGGCCGTCAAGTGATGAATGGATCACCGAAGAGTGGGAGCGGATTTTGAAGCGCCTCGGCGCGCTCTCCGATTTTATGTGTTCCAGGTGGGCAGGCTGGCAGAGATGCTTTTGGAGCATTTGCCTTTTGCACCATCTCTTGGAAAACAACCCTTTTCCAGGTGCATCGACATTGCACAAAGTCTCGGCAAGTATGCGCAAGCGAAAGCGCTGGAGGAGGTCGGTTCCACCAGTTTTAAAGGGACTGGGAACGCAAAAATCCACCCTGTCCTTAACTGGGTCTCGACAGTGGCGCGAGACTCGAAAAGCCGCGTCTCGCAGCCGCCAAATTCGTGTCTTTGAGTACCGCGTAGCTGTCTAGACCCCGTCGGGGTAGGAGTTGATTCTCGCGTTGTTCTAGCCCTAAACACGAAACTTCCAGGATGCTCGCCAAATCTGCCGGCGCGCCGCCATCCTGCCGATCCTCCAGTTGGTTGAGCCGTTCTGCGAGCAGTTCCTGATTGGCCTGATGAGTAGGTATTCCTTTTCCAATCAAAACCAAACACGTTCATGTTTTTCATTTGACTCAAACAAACTAGAGGACTCGTTTCACAATTGCTGATTCTTCGTCAGATCGTCGCCAAACCGTAGTAGAAGTGCGGCTCCAATGTCTCTCGAAGTCTGAACGACGAAGTCTCGGTATTCAGATGACGTCAGTCCACTTTTCAGGCTTCTTCGTCAGATCGTCCCCAAACCGTAGTAGAAGTGCGGCTCCAATGTCTCTCGAAGTCTGAACGACAAATTTTAAGTATTCAGATGACGTCAGTCCACTTTTCAGGCTTCTTCGTCAGATCGTCGCCAAACCGTAGTAGAAGTGCGGCTCCAATGTCTCTCCAGTCTGAACGACAAATCTTAGGTATTCAGATGACGTCAGTCCACTTTTCAGGCTTCTTCGTCAGATCGTCGCCAAACCGTAGTAGAAGTGCGGCTCCAATGTCTCTCCAGTCTGAACGACAAATCTTAGGTATTCAGATGACGTCAGTCCACTTTTCAGGCTTCTTCGTCAGATCGTCGCCAAACCGTAGTAGAAGTGCGGCTCCAAGGTCTCTCGAAGTTTGAACGACAAATTTTAAGTATTCAGATGACGTCAGTCCACTTTTCAGGCTTCTTCGTCAGATCGTCGCCAAACCGTAGTAGAAGTGCGGCTCCAAGGTCTCTCGAAGTTTGAACGACAAATTTTAGGTATTCAGATGACGTCAGTCCACTTTTCAGGCTTCTTCGTCAGATCGTCGCCAAACCGTAGTAGAAATGCGGCTCCAAGGTCTCTCGAAGTTTGAACGACAAATTTTAGGTATTCAGATGACGTCAGTCCACTTTTCAGGCTTCTTCGTCAGATCGTCGCCAAACCGTAGTAGAAGTGCGGCTCCAAGGTCTCTCGAAGTTTGAACGACAAATTTTAGGTATTCAGATGACGTCAGTCCACTTTTCAGGCTTCTTCGTCAGATCGTCGCCAAACCGTAGTAGAAGTGCGGCTCCAAGGTCTCTCGAAGTCTGAACGACAAATTTTAGGTATTCAGATGACGTCAGTCCACTTTTCAGGCTTCTTCGTCAGATCGTCGCCAAACCGTAGTAGAAGTGCGGCTCCAAGGTCTCTCGAAGTCTGAACGACGAAGTCTCGGTATTCAGATGACGTCAGTCCACTTTTCAGGCTTCTTCGTCAGATTGTCGCCAAACCGTAGTAGAAGTGCGGCTCCAAGGTCTCTCGAAGTCTGAACGACAAATTTTAAGTATTCAGATGACGTCAGTCCACTTTTCAGGCTTCTTCGTCAGATCGTCGCCAAACCGTAGTAGAAGTGCGGCTCCAAGGTCTCTCGAAGTCTGAACGACGAAGTCTCGGTATTCAGATGACGTCAGTCCACTTTTCAGGCTTCTTCGTCAGATCGTCGCCAAACCGTAGTAGAAGTGCGGCTCCAAGGTCTCTCGAAGTCTGAACGACGAAGTCTCGGTATTCAGATGACGTCAGTCCACTTTTCAGGCTTCTTCGTCAGATCGTCGCCAAACCGTAGTAGAAGTGCGGCTCCAAGGTCTCTCGAAGTTTGAACGACAAATTTTAGGTATTCAGATGACGTCAGTCCACTTTTCAGGCTTCTTCGTCAGATCGTCGCCAAACCGTAGTAGAAGTGCGGCTCCAAGGTCTCTCGAAGTCTGAACGACGAAGTCTCGGTATTCAGATGACGTCAGTCCACTTTTCAGGCTTCTTCGTCAGATCGTCGCCAAACCGTAGTAGAAATGCGGCTCCAAGGTCTCTCGAAGTTTGAACGACAAATTTTAGGTATTCAGATGACGTCAGTCCACTTTTCAGGCTTCTTCGTCAGATCGTCGCCAAACCGTAGTAGAAATGCGGCTCCAAGGTCTCTCGAAGTTTGAACGACAAATTTTAGGTATTCAGATGACGTCAGTCCACTTTTCAGGCTTCTTCGTCAGATCGTCGCCAAACCGTAGTAGAAATGCGGCTCCAAGGTCTCTCGAAGTTTGAACGACAAATTTTAGGTATTCAGATGACGTCAGTCCACTTTTCAGGCTTCTTCGTCAGATCGTCGCCAAACCGTAGTAGAAGTGCGGCTCCAAGGTCTCTCGAAGTTTGAACGACAAATTTTAGGTATTCAGATGACGTCAGTCCACTTTTCAGGCTTCTTCGTCAGATCGTCGCCAAACCGTAGTAGAAGTGCGGCTCCAAGGTCTCTCGAAGTCTGAACGACAAATTTTAGGTATTCAGATGACGTCAGTCCACTTTTCAGGCTTCTTCGTCAGATCGTCGCCAAACCGTAGTAGAAGTGCGGCTCCAAGGTCTCTCGAAGTCTGAACGACGAAGTCTCGGTATTCAGATGACGTCAGTCCACTTTTCAGGCTTCTTCGTCAGATTGTCGCCAAACCGTAGTAGAAGTGCGGCTCCAAGGTCTCTCGAAGTCTGAACGACAAATTTTAGGTGTTGTGTCCTTGAAGTGGGTGAAGTGCTTGATGGAATGTAGTTGAAGTATCGAATAAACAAAAGATGTTTATTCGACAAGCAGCAGACGAGGATAAAATTCGGAGTGATAAAAATGGGCGATTTCCCGGGGAGAGCGGGGGCCTTACGACACGAAATGGGGGGTGCCGTGGCGGGACCACAGGCTACGATCACAAGGGCACGCGATAGGGGGAGGCGACTAGTGTCTAGCCTTTCGCTCCACAACACCTCCCTCCTTTTAGGGAAGATTGAAAGTCGGCACATGACCAGACTGGAGGTGTGTGAGGAATGAAAAACCGAATGTGGGTACAGCATAAAAGTATCGTGAAAAGATTACACAGAATTTACATAGCAACGCGAAAAGAAAAATGCTTCTTTCATTCGTTTAGCTAAATTCTTGCGTAGGCTGAACACGGGCACCATCACATCGGAGCACGCATCTTGCGCTGGGGCTCGGGCAACTTGTCGGCATTTGGCAACGGCAGTGGCGGCGATCCCTCCTTCTCTTCCTCGAAAGATCCTTGACACATTGACGACTTGTCGGGCTTGCGGAGCTGATTGATGTAGCGCGTCCGTAGCAGTCCATTTTCCAACTTGACAGTGTAGGGGAATTTGGAGTCCTTGTGTAGAATTCTTGCGGGCGTCCAGGTAGATTTATCCCTGCGCCATTCCTTAGCGTAAACGTGTTCACCTGGTGAGAAACAACGTTGTCTTGCTGGGCGGCGTCGGTGGGCAGTCCTCACGACCAGTGCGGCGGGGCTTGGGGCACGCAGCGAGCGCATTGGTGGCTTCATTTGTAGCTTGCGTCCCATGAATTCAAATGGCGGATTTTCATTCGACGGTTCGGGCTTGAGCAGTGCACGGAATGCATCCATTGCATCCGTATTCTTCAGCCAGTCGAGGCCGAGAAGGGTGTGGCCATCGATGACGTGTCCAACACCGATCATCTCCTTCTTGTCGATGACGTACTTGCTCTCGAATGTCCCATGAACCTTGATGTCCCGTCCATTTGCGGCCTTCATCTTGAGTGACGTTGGCTTGAGCGCGGGCTTGCCGATCTTGACCCAGTCCTTCTTGTCGAGGAGAGTTACGTCGGCGCCCGTGTCAACACGCATCTTCAGCGGGTGCCCGTCGATCGCCACATCATGGTATAAACGATCGATGTCGTGGTCCGAAAAATTTGAACCTACAAAAACGACATTTTCTTCCGCGGGCGGTTGAACTTGGACTGGGCATTCATTATCCCAGTGTGCACCTTCACAATGTCGACATGGCCTTGTACGCTTCTTGCGGCGGCTCATCGTAGATTGCGCGGTAGTCGGGCTTTTTGGAATTTGGGGCGGCCTTGTTGAAACGGCATGCACCTCCATTGGCAACTTGGTGTCCAGGTTGGCGTCCTTCTTTCTTGATACGAAGTGGCGAATGTGCGCGAAAACTTCGTCCAGCGTAGAGTCCGGCTTTTCCTCCATTTTGCGAAGGATCTGGCTTCGTGTCACTTCATGTTCAGCACCGGGCAGCGAGAGCAGTAGAGAAAGGGCCTTCTGTTCGTGCTCCTTGATCTCGCGCATCTTCGCCTTCTCGTATGCGAACTTCAGTTGGTCCACGTGCTTGGCCAGCTCTTCCACGTCACCGCCCTGGAATTTCAATTTAGAAAATTCATAGCGAAGGGCAAAAAGTGACTTGGATGGCACGAAGATCCTCAGCAAAGTGTCCACGATCTCGGCGTATTTCAGCTCGTGCGCGGCCTTCGGCAGGATAAACTTCGTGAATCGCTCGTAGGCGGTGTCCTCCAATTTCTCGATCAGCATCCGGCTTCGGTCCTCTTCGGAAAACTCGGCACCGTCCTTCACGAAAACTTCGCCATACCGGGCATACCATAGCTCGAACGTTGAGCGGTCCTCGTCAAAGCAAAATTTCGGCACTCGGGCCAGAATGGAGTCCCTCAGCGTTTGAAGACGAACCTTGTTTGCGGCTTCTCCATCGGCGGGCTCTTGCTTGACTTGACTCATCCACGCGGCCATTTGTTCGGTGATCAGCTTCATTTGCAGTTCGTGGGCCTGTTTGTCTTGCTCACGCTGCTCCCGGTGACGCTCCTCATCTTGGGCACGCTGCTCACGATGACGTTCTTCCATTGCGGTCAGAACGTTTTGCAGAACTTGTTCCATTTGGGCTTCTTCTTCCTTCAGTTTCGTAGACTTCGACCTTGTGACGGGGGCCAGCTTCTTGTTGGTGTCCCTTCTTGCGTAAGTGTCGAATCACCTGCTCGCCAATTGTTGTGTCCTTGAAGTGGGTGAAGTGCTTGATGGAATGTAGTTGAAGTATCGAATAAACAAAAGATGTTTATTCGACAAGCAGCAGACGAGGATAAAATTCGGAGTGATAAAAATGGGCGATTTCCCGGGGAGAGCGGGGGCCTTACGACACGAAATGGGGGGTGCCGTGGCGGGACCACAGGCTACGATCACAAGGGCACGCGATAGGGGGAGGCGACTAGTGTCTAGCCTTTCGCTCCACAACATTAGGTATTCAGATGACGTCAGTCCACTTTTCAGGCTTCTTCGTCAGATCGTCGCCAAACCGTAGTAGAAGTGCGGCTCCAAGGTCTCTCGAAGTCTGAACGACAAATTTTAGGTATTCAGATGACGTCAGTCCACTTTTCAGGCTTCTTCGTCAGATCGTCGCCAAACCGTAGTAGAAGTGCGGCTCCAAGGTCTCTCGAAGTCTGAACGACGAAGTCTCGGTATTCAGATGACGTCAGTCCACTTTTCAGGCTTCTTCGTCAGATCGTCGCCAAACCGTAGTAGAAGTGCGGCTCCAATGTCTCTCGAAGTCTGAACGACAAATTTTAGGTATTCAGATGACGTCAGTCCACTTTTCAGACTTCTTCGTCAGATCGTCGCCAAACCGTAGTAGAAGTGCGGCTCCAAGGTCTCTCGAAGTCTGAACGACAAATTTTAGGTATTCAGATAACGTCAGTCCACTTTTCGGGCTTGTTCTCGTTCCGTCGGCAGGCTACCGGCCACTTATGGTTGATCCCTCATTTCATAGAGTTTTTGTGAGGGCGAGAGGAATTTGGCTCTTTTGTTGCCACGAGAGATACAGGGTAGGCCAAAAAAAAGTTTCCTACTAAATGTGTCTGGTAGGTCGATTTCACCAGCTTAATTTTTTTCGTTTTTTTTTGGTACAATTCTACTATTGACGCCGGTTACGGTGACGCCGGCTGGTTTTTGCAAAGGGCTTTCCTAGAACCCTGATCAACGTTTTGACACTTGGGTTTGCCACAATCTATGGTATTTTTATATATATATACAGGGTGTCCCAAAAAAATCCCGCCCCCCTAGCCGGCCGCAGACCTGTCCGATTTTTACGATTTAGGTATGTATCGAAAGCCCTCGGAAAGGCGAGTCCAGCACGTCGCCCGATTCCCAAAATTTTTAATTTTGTTTATCATTTACTAATGTTTTTGCAAAATGGGCGGCTTTTCTGATGTTTTTCTGACCACAGGGTTTTTTACGAAAATCGCAATTTAAGAATTTTGATGCCCTTCCTGCAGCCCAACGACAGCTTTTTAAAAGCCGCTTGCGAAAACACAGCTTGGATAGCGCTTAAACGGATTAAATTGCGTTTTGGACAAAAAAGCGTGTGCTTTTTGCAGAAAAATGCCGAAAATCGAGTAAAAATTTCCGAAATTTCGAAAATTGAAGAGACGTGCTGGACACGCCTTTCCGAGAGCCTTCGATACATAACTAAATCGTAAAAATCCGACTGGGTTGCGGCCGGCTAGGGGGGGGGGGGAGATTTTTTTTGGGACACCCTGTATATCCTACTATATATAAAAAATAGTGTATGTGTGTGTGTGTAACTTTGCATGCAACTTCCGTCAGTATGTTCCGGTCGTATCTCGATAGAGAAAGGGTTTTAGAGTATGTCTGATACGTCATTAGATGTGTAATCGTCTCGAGACGCCTGCACACATGTCAAATGGTCGAAAAAGTGCTATTTTCGACATTAAAATTAAGTTTTTGTAAAAATTTCGGTCCACCGCTTTGTTAGGGATCAATTAGCATACACCGGAAGCGAGAAAAGTCTATATAAAGGCTCTGCAAATGCAAACCACCTGCAGGACGCGAAAGCCCACGTGCAGGACACGAAAGACCACGATTGTGCATGCGCGGACATGCACAACCGCGGGCCTGGGTGTCCTGCACGTGGGCCAGGTAGTTTCTGCACCGGTGTGCATGTCCGGACATGTACAACCGTGGGCCTCGGCGTCCTGCACGTGGACCACCGTGTCCTGCACGTGGACCCCGTAAACAAGTCAACTTCGTACTCAACCGGGAATCAAACATTTCAAACACGGTTCAAAGTTTTTTGGCATTCTTTTTGAAAGTTCATGGGCCATGGCCTATTGGTCTATGGCGCTTGTCCCAGTCCGTGGCGCGGGTTCGGTTTTGCTCCGCGGCGAGCAGCTACCGTAACCCTGTTTGCTATCCCGCGGACGGTTACCGGCCGGTAACCAAACCAACGAGACTTTAGTGTACCTTTAATCGTGTATCGATTTATCCAGTCGCTTAGGCTTTCCAAAAATAACAACGTTAGGCAAGGTTGGCTTCACTTTTCGTAGATCCACAGGACCGGGTTGCCGATGGTACTGTAGTACATAGCAGCGACGAATTCTGAAACTGGGTCGTCAACAGAGAACCGTAGTGGATCTCGCTCTTTTTTCGGACCCAAAAACCGCTTTTGTAAAGAATCTCTTTTTAGCTAAAGGTATTGACATTGCTGTGCGCTCCTACCCCTCCAAAAAATCGCAAAAATTGCGTCCCTGTCAAAATGCCAAAATAGTTCACTTGCTGCGTTGCCCCTGGCATCGCCGGCAGATTTTATATTTTCGGTTTTCCGTAGAATAAAGTTCGCAACCGACCACTCCGCAACCGTCCAAAATTGGAATTACAAGTAGAAAACCGTACCTTTGCCGTAGACGCTGACCCGAGAATAAATAGCGACGTTTTCATCGTCATCGTCAACGTAATACTTCAGAAAATCCTTAATCCAGGCCGTCAGTTGGAATGAAATTACCGCCTTAAGTCCATGCACTTTTGGGCTAGCGTATGCTAATAGTGGATACACAGCGCAAAAATTTGCGTTGCATACACTTTCAAGGGATGCCGACGGCGTAGTCAATCGGTTACGCGCTGGAAAGAAAATGTCTCTGCGCCTCTCCCCTGTTGGCTGCTTGCCAATTTGTTGAGGGGGGGGGGGGATCGACACACGCCGTCGGCAGCCCTTTAAAGTGCTTTTGGCTAATTTCCCCCTAGAGTTTCCATAACTTTGCTTATTCCGATATGCAAAAGTTACTCAGATACACCTTTCGTACATGGGTTGTTCATTTCGAATTTAGGTACGATATCTCTGTATCGCGGTTGGGATTTTTCAATTCCGATGGATTATTTAGATACGACCAGGGTTGAAAAGCCGCTTCGCGACTTTTCAACCCTGGCCCCGTCTGACCTCATTTTATCCTTCACTTGGCATAATTGTCCTAAATTCAGATGACCCAAAATGAAAAACAACCTCTTCTACCTCTTTATATAGTCGAATCCCCACTTCCGGTCTGATTTCCGGCCAAAATGACGACATTCGAAATGACGACAGCCAGAATGACGACAGCCAAAATGACGACAGCCAAAATGACGACAGCCAGAATAGCGACAGCCAGAATGACGACAGCCATAATGACGACAGCCAAAATAGCGACAGCCAAAATGACGACATTCAAAATGACGACATGCAAAATCAGCCATAATAGCTGGGAAAAATCAAATTTTTGCATGTCGTCATTTTGAATGTCGCCATTTTGGCTGTCGTCATTTTGGCTGTCGCTATTTTGGCTGTCGTCATTCTGGCTGTCGTCATTTTGGCTGTCGTCATTTCGAATGTCGTCATTTTGGCTGTCGGCATTTTGGCTGTCGTCATTTTGAATGTCGTCATTTTGGCTGTTTCCCTTCCGGTCTATGCTAATTATTCCTAACAACGAAGTTTTCACAAAAACTTAAATTTAATGTCTAAAATAGGTAATTTTGTTAAATCTCATATGCGTGCAGTCATCTCCAGGCCATTACGCACCTAATGACGTATCATACATACCCAAAAATTCATCCCCTATCGAGATATCCTCCGGACAGACAAACGGAAGTGGATGCAAAGTGGCACACACAGACACTATTTTTTTTATATATAGTGCCGGAAGTGGCGGTAGCCTATATAATGGGAGGGAGGGTGCATTTTTCATTCTTTTTCATCGCAGTTCGGGCGTATTATGCAAAGTGAAGAATTTCATGAACTCAGACGGGACCATGGTTGAAAAGTCGCGAAGCGGCTAAATTGCCATGCAAAGTGCATTTTCCAGCGTCCCAAATTATCCCTGCTAGCTTGCCGCCGCCAAAAAAAATCCAAATTTTGCTAAACTGGAGGACAGGGGACGTTATAGAGTAGGATATATCTCATTGCGGGAATAAATATAATAAAAAGTTAGTGGTGTCTGTCTGTGCGTCGTGTTCCAGATTCAACTGGAAGGGGAAAAAAGCTAGAGCTTAGCTCTGTTCGGATTCGGATAGGGCGTGGTCAGAAACCCCAACATTGATAAAAAAATTATGAAAAAGTTTTTGTTTAAATTATTAAAATTAACTTTGAAAGTGGCGCCTTAATAAAACGAGTGGGGGCCCCTCTCCCCGGCAGGCCACGCCCACTTTCCCAGCCCCTTTCACTAGGCCCCTTCCCGCGCCCAGATCGTTTTTTAAGTTGCTTTAATACTTTTTAATACGTTTTAATTATGTTAGGTATCTGAAGCCATCAGGAACGTATTTAGGTAGTTTTTTGGGGGAATTTCGGTTAGGGGAGGTATCTGAAGCCATCAGGAAGGTATTAAAGTAGTTCAGGTATCCAAGTTTTTGCAGGGGTTTGGGTAGAGAAGGTATCTGAAGCGGGCAGCGTGGGGATTGATGAAGGTAGAGATGGAATGTGGTGGTGTATGACATGGAGGGTAGCCCGAAGGCCAGCCGATTACAGTCGCGAAGCGGGGGATCCCCTGCCCCCCCCCCCACTTTCGCAATTGCGCAACCTATATGGTTAGATAGTTCTAAATACTTGTCAAGGAGCTGCTATTTTTGATAATCTAAAATACAGCAGCATGTGGTTGAGAAGGGGGGAATACCTCTGATTCCTGGCGCTGCTCTAAGTAGCTGATCTCTTCACTTAACGGCCCATCATTTCCCATCTGGTCGATCGTCTCCACCGTGCCCTGATGGAGCTTCCAAAGACGTTGCTTATACATCTCCTAAAATCCGCTATCTATAATTTCCTTTGGGGGTGTAGGGATTTAGGGATATCGACAATTTCCTTTTTTCTTTCTAGCAAATCCTTATTAGAAATTCTCTCTCACTCTCGACTCTCTCAGACACACTTATTTCTGAAAGGAAATCCGGCTCGGCTTTTCCCTGGTCAGTGCCGATCGCCTACCAAGAAATTCGGGCAATCGAGCCCAGCGGGGAGCTCAAACTCATGAAAAAGTCCCGATCGACGTGGGCGTCTTGTGCAGACGGCAAGCTGCAATATAAATTGAGGATCCCGTTTGACGAAGGACAGTTGATAGATGGCATTTTTAAAGAGACCTATTTTTAAGCTGATGTCGGAGACAGAGAGAGAGAGAGAGAGAGAGAGAGAGAGAGAGAGAGAGTTTTTTCAGGGCCCCCATAAAACCTAAATATTCGAAAGAGCGCTGTTAATTGAGATGTAGCCCAGCCTTCAGTCCTAGCTTCAAACCCATGTAAAAAAAATTAACAAAGTGCTGGCAGAGAAGATTAGGGTCACTATCAGATAGGGCACCTAGCTCTTCAAAACGATATCTTTGGATAAGTTGTGTTATCGAAACGTGCCTTGAAAAACGTCCCAAACAAAAAAGCCCGCGAGAACTTTCGGAACAACCTAATACCGTCAAATTTATGCCACCCTACTAATTCAAGCATACTCTTTCCGATAGCATCGGATAACCGGGTCAGAAAAAACTGTGTCAAGCCACACCGGGCTTGGTACAGTTGTTTCCCGGTCGAGTGCCTAGCTAACGGCCTTTGAAAACCATTTAAAATGGGGGAAAAAGGTTATTGCCACTGCCCGATATCCTTGTAGATCAAAAGCTTACATCGACGTAATGCGCAATCTCGTGATAACCTGCGCACCATAATTCGAACCCGACTTCTGGGGGATTTCTTCCGAATTGCTGGCTATTGCTGCACAATCCAGCCCACCATTCATTACAGGTCCAACAATATTGTGGGGCGCCGTCGCTCCGCTTGCCCTGAAAAACCGTAGAGAAGCAGAAAATAAAAGTTTACCGCGCCGCGGTCATAGCTAACAAGGGAAGGGCAAGTACAGGAACTGGAAATTCGAAAAACGCTCGCGGCTACCCCCAGGTTATCGACTACGGGGAACACGATGGTGTTGTCAGAATTTTCCACCGAGCCCTGTGGATCGAGATACGGTACTTCCGGAAAAGGGGTCATTTGCATACGCGAAATTACCATGCTACTTGCGGTTTATTGGAGGCTTCTACGTCCCTACCATCAGCTGCGAGTTAGTCAATTGGTAACTGAACAGTGTTTCAAATACCTAGCAGGGCTCGAATCCACTCAGAACTTTTAATTTTTGCTCTTTGCTTTTTGGAGGGCGACCCACGTCAATTTCGGCCGTCATAGATTGAAATTTTTGGGTTCGACTTCGGATTTGGACGAGAAAGTTTGCTTCAAGAACAATGAAAACACATTCAAAAAGGCTCCAAAAATAACATTCCAAAAAGCAAAAAATTAAAAGTTCTGAGTGGATCCGAACCCTGGTAGGTATTTCAAAAACTGTTCAGTTAGCAATTAACTAACTCGCAGCTGATGGTAGAGACGTAGAAACTTCTAAAAACCTTCTGAACCAACCTTTTCACATTGCCGACAACTCGTGACTTCGTCCTTCTAAATTTCAAATGGTCAAAATATGTAGTATGTACGAATTTTTGAATGGGCCGAAGCTACGCAAAAGCCTTACACAATCAAATACTAGCCAGAACTTCTCGTCGACGCCATGTTGATAGTTTGCCCGAAATTTTTGAAAAATAGCATTGTTGTGCAGCAGCAATCTTAGAGAGCCCGCGGCGATGATTGAACGGAAAATGGGACCAATCTAAAAGGGAACTTCGGGGCGGGACAGGAGTTCACGGACTTCATATTTTCGGACATTAAACGACGTAGAGGGGTCGCGCGACTATCAAATTTAGAGATTTTGTAGAACATTCTATAGGGAATCGAAATTTGTGGGCACGTCTCCGCTAGCCCAGGCTAATTCCGAAAACGGAGTCCTAGCAATTGCGGTTTAGAAGCGGCGCGGTACAGACGCACGCAAGACGCCCGCTGTTCTTTTTCCCCTCGCGTTTTTTTTTCAATTTAATCGGTTTTCCTCACCGCTGCGACTTACATCGAAAGTCTTTTTCTGGTTGTTGCCTTCGACAGCACCACGTTGTATCTGTAAAGAACGTGGATCGTTGCGCGAAAAGGGGGGTCTTGCTGGCCTAAGAAGCGTTTTTGGGTTGGCGACAGGCCCGTAGGAGGGGGGGCGGCATGCCCCTCCGCCCCCCCCGAAACCTCGCCGCCCCCCGAAACCTCGCCGCCCCCCGAAACCTCGCCGCCCCCCGAAATTTGGGGTCCGCTACGGCCCTGGTTGGCGATCACTTATCCGAAAATCCCGTGTCAGACTATCCTATCGCCAATCCAAAAAAAAAAACGATTTGCCCGGACAGGTGTTTGGTAATCCATCTGTCCGAAAACCACTTGTCAATCAAAAGTCTTATAACGAAATGGAAAAGAATTTTAGAATTTATGTAATCGGAAAATAATTGCCTGCGGTGCTGTTATTTCGTGAATTCTCCGCATGCGGCGCTCCAGTTTCCAAATTTTTTTCGCTTTGCCCCCTCCGAAATTTCGCCGAATGACATGTCGCAGATTCACATTTTGCCGAATCACACTTCGGTGAATTTCGAAATTTGATTTTTGGCCGAAAAAAGTTGGTTTGCGCCCCCGGAAATACTGGGATAAAATCGGCGAAAAGAACTTCCGGCTAAATGGAAATTCGACGAAATCTAATTCAGCGAAATTTAGGACAATTGTAAAAATCACTAACTAAGCGTACTTCACACCCAGATCAGCGAGAAAAAATATGTAAACAATTTTTACCTCAAATATTTGGTACTATTCAAGTTGGGGGGTGGGGGATTTTTTAGGTCATTTTTGGGCCTATAGATCAGTTTTTCGCGGCTAATCCAGCGCAATACTGACCTCCTAAGCTAAGCTAAGCCAAGCACAGTTAAATTGAGCTTGAACAAAGCTAAGTCGAAGCCAAAAGCCGTGATGCTGTGACGAAGCCAAGTTACAGGGCTGCCGACGGCATGTGTCGATCCCCCCTCATCAACAAATTGGCAAGTAGCCAACAGGGCAGAGAGCGCGCCCTGGGGAGAGGCGCAGAGACATTTTCTTTCCAGCGCGTAACCGATTGACTATGCCGTCGGCATCCCTTTAAGGACGCGGTACTAAGGCTTAGGCTAAGCATAGGCCTCGATGAAGCTAGGCCTAAGCCTAGGCTAAGCTAAGCCTAAGCCTAAGCCAAGCCAATCCTAAGCCCAACCTAAGTTAGAGAAAAACTGACCAAGTAGCCCAAAAATGACCCAAAAATTTTTTGCCCCTCAACTGGAATAGTACCAAATATTTTACTGTGATGTTTGGTGGTCAATGACTGATTAAAGATTTACCTGAGTCGGACATCGTTTGAGATAAACAAATACCCTCCTCGAGACAAAGTAGCATTTGGAAACCAGGGTGAGGAAACGATCGAATGGCATCCAGTATGTCCTGCAATAACTTGCCGTTTCGTTTTACAACGTTTTTTAGCCCGCGCTCGATATTCAATGATTTCTAACGATAAGTAAAATCAGCGTCATGCTATTGGCTTCAGCTGACATTACGTTTGTATAGACGGCTTCCGGTCACTACCCCGAAATCGTTTACCCCGAAAAATGATAGCATTGTTTTTCCCGGAAAAATTCAGTTTTCATGCGGATTTCCAATGAAAATCATGCAAATTATTTCGGGGTAGTGGCTTTTCGGGGTAATGACTTTCCGGGGTAGTGACTTTCGGGGTAGTGACTTTACCCCGCATAGAATAATTTTGGGTCACCTTGCATAATAGGATACAAGTAGGATTTATTGAATATAATATTTGCTAATTTTTGTCAAAACCACGTTTGTGGATCCCGACTAAAATTTGACCAAGGACCTACTCTTACAACTCTCTACTCTTATTTTTCAATACCTGGTTTTACTGTGACGGTTTTAGGAACATTTTCATAAATGAAACTTGAACAAAGGAATGGCGGTTATTGGGGTCATTCGGACCAGAATTGAACGGAATCTAAAGTTGCACAGATAGATCTGAGAGAGCGGCTCAAGACGAGCATTTTGGTATAGTAGTCACTCGTCTAAATACGGCGGGGCTATCTTGATGACGCGCACTGTATTTACCTAGCATCTTTCCGATAAGGACGGCCTCTAACTTCTACCACGTCGTCGCTCCACGCGAAGAATCGATAATCAGTTCGGTCATAAATGCTGATGTGCGTCATTGAAGTCCACATCTGAAGCGGTCGATGGTGATTTGCCGATCTTTAGTAAACCCTTAAAGGTACACTAAAGTCTCGTTGGTTTGGTTACCGGCCGGTAACCGTCCGCGGGATAGCAAACAGGGTTACGGTAGGCACTCACCGCGAAGCAAAACCAAACCCCGACTGCCAGCTTGGGGCAGCGCCTTAGACCACTAGGCCAAGGGAGAGACGGAAAGGGGGAAGGGGAGAGGCGATAAGAAGGGGCTGGGTCGGCTGCGGCGGAGAGTCCAAATTTCCTACCGCCACCGAACTTTTTGGACGGGATTTTAGTGTACCTTTAAAGCCCTTACCCTTACTCTTACTTACTCGTCCAGAAAAGCCTCGATTTATTGAAAATTCGTTGCAATGCGGGAACTGACCTCACGATTCGCGTCACATGTCGGCACCGCTGCCTCCTCCCATTTTGCTTCGACCGCGAGATCCGCTATTTTACGCGGCAAAAGGCAGCGCCGACTGACGATCGACCTGAAACGACGTACAGATCAGCCGACCAAGGGGATTGGCCTCTAAAACGCTTTTTTTCATTGGCAAAAGTAACCGCGGTACTTTGCTAGGAAAGTGTAAATTGCAAAACAAAGAAATCG